TGGGACCTGGCAGAGCAAGGCTACTCTCACAGGTTAGAGGTAAGATGATTCGTGAAAATGGGTTAAGGAGTTGTCAGTTTTTCCTGAGAGTGCTAAAGAGCTCTGAGGAGGGACCAGCAGATGGCGCCGCTGGCCTCTCCCATGTAGTCCACTGAGGTTTGAGTTCGACCAGGCGGCTTAAGTTTGGACCGGGTGGCTTAAACTCATGCACCCATGCGCGTGCGTGCCCAAGATCCCAAAAGGAGCGTGGAGGACAAAGGATTGTGGCGTGGCCATCCCCCCGGGGGGTGATTTATCGCTTTCTGTCTGTCTCTGTCTCTCTGGCAAGCACACATGCCCTATAGCAAAAATCTCTCAACAACAACAACAACAACAACAAAAAAAACTTTAAGGAAAAGGGATACCCCACATTTCGGTTTGAGATGATTCCGGCAGGCCAGCCGGTAGTGTGTGTGGTTAAGGCAGCTGGATCCCACAAGGCCGACCCCATAGCTAGTCTCAGACCCAGCTTGAAAAACAAGCTGGGCGCGAGTATGGGCATGCATACCCCAAGTCCCCAAAGATGGGGAAGATGGAGAAGGGGTCGCTGTGTGACCACCCCACCTGGGCGTTTTCTCACCCCACTCTGTCTGCCTCTCCAGTGGCACACATGTCCTCTAACTCCATGGCCTGGTAGTTAAGGAAGGCACTTGGATCCTACCGGGTTGACTGCGGTTCAAGTCCCGGTTCATATGTGCAGGCCCAAAACCCTATAAAAAAGAGGGAGCGACGGAGAAGGGATTATGGTGTGATTATTCCCCATGGGGGTGCTTTCTCTGCTCCCTCTCCATCTTTCTCTCATATGCCTCTAACCAAAAAAGAGGAAATCCTGTTGGGGCTGGACAGTGGCACGGCAGTAGCTCAACAAGGCTGACTCACATGGGGAGGTTCTGAGTTCACATCCAAGACCTTCCTGAAAACAGGCGGCCGGGGGAAGGAGGGACCAGCAGGTGGCATGGTGCTTAAGGCGCTGGATACTCCTATATGGCTGACCATGGTTCGAGTCCTGGACGTGGTGGCTTGCTTTCTCACTTTCCCTCTTTCTCTCTCTCTCTCTGTGTATCTCTCTGGTCAAATTAAAATAAACTGAATGAATAAAAGTAAATAAATAATTATAAAAAAAAATAGGAGGCCCACAAACGCCTGGGATCCAGGCTTGTCTAAGGCTGGGTCGGGATGTGTCGTGAAGACCCTGTTGAGGATGCTGTCTCTCATCTCTGCTGCTTACTCTCTCTCTCTCCTCTCTCTCTCTCTCTGCCTCTCTCACTAAAGGAAGAAATAGTAAAAAAAAAAAAAAAAAACTACAAAACTATACATTATGAACCAGCCTGTGGCATGGTGGTTAAGGTGGCTTCATCCCATGTGGCCAACTGCGATTCGAGTCCTAGACACACCAGCTTGACAAATACTGGGTGTGTGCATGTGTGCCCAAGACCCCAAGAGGAAAATGAAGGGATTGTGGCACGGCCACCCCTCCTGTGCGTTGGGGGGTGATGTCTTACTCCCCTCCCCTTTGCTCCCCAGTGAGTACTCACTCCCTATAGCAAAATTAAAAGTACCATGCATTTAAGAAACAGAGGGACCAGTAGGTGGCGTGAAGGTTAAGGTGCTGAGTCCCATATGACCTACTGCGTGTTTCGCGTCCTAGTTCTGGCTTGGAAATTGTACCAGGTGTGTGCGTATGCCCATGACTCCAAGAGGAGAATGGAGGAGAAGGGATTGCACTGTGGTTATCCCCCATGGAGGGTGATTTCTCACTCTGACCCTGCAAGCACACTCACTCTGTAGCAAAAAAGTTTTTTTAAGTAATAAAGTTAAGGGAGGCTGGCAGGTGGCATGGTGGTTAAGGGTGCTAGACTCCCACATGGCCAACCACAGTTCGAGTCCCAGACCTGGCAGCTTTCTTTCTCACTTTATCTCTCTCTCTGTTCCTCTCTGGTAAAATTAAAATACATAAGTAAATAAATAAAGTTAAATAAAGTAATTCTAATAATGATAATAAAGCTAAATAATTTGAAATAAAAATCATTACTGAAAAAAATATAGATTTTAGATTTTTGCTATAGAGGAGAGAGATGGAGCTACAGAGAGACAGAAAGTGAGAAACACCTCCCGGGGGGATGGCCACACCGCAGTCCCTTCTCCTCCATTCTCCTCTCGGGATCTTGGGCACGCACGCACACGCGCCCGGCCTGCGTTTCAAGCCACTGGATCTGGAACTTGAACCACAGTGGGAGATGGAGAGAGTGAGAAAAGTGAGCGAACACCCCCGGGGTGATGACCATGCTGCACTCCCTCCTTATCCACCCTCCTCCCAGGATCTTGGGCATGGCTGCACAGGTGCCCAGATGTTTTCCAAGCCACTGAATCTGGGACTTGAACTGCACAGTCAACCACGTGGAATCTGGCTGGCCCTGTTTTTGTTTTTGTTTTCCTTTTTTGTCAATTGGCAGGGAGTACACTTACCAAAGAGACAGAGAGACAGAGAAAGAGAGAGGGCAAGGAAGAAAGCACCTCAGTGGGGTGTGGTCACGTGGCACACCCTTCTCCCCCACTCTCTATCCTATCAGGATTTTGGGCACACGCGCACATGTAGCTGGTATGTTTCACAAGCTGCTGGGGCTGGGATTGAACCATGGCGGCAGTGCAGGACCAGCTCCCTTAACCCCCGGCCACAGGGCTGGCCTCACAATTTTTGTATGTTTATCTCACATCTACAACTTGTTCAACTTAGTTCTTGTGTGTTTTGTTTGTTTGTTTTTGTAGATTCTTGGAGTTTTCTACATAGATCTTATCAGCTCTGCACTGGGGTAGCCATGTGTCTTCCTTTCCAATCTGTGTGCCTAACTTTACTTCCGCTTCTTGCCTTATTGCACTGGCTGGGCTTCCCGTACTCTGCTGAACGGTGGTGAGCAGACGCTGTTCCGGTTTCACCACGATTTATGTTTTTTTTCTTTCTTTGTTTGTAGATACTCTATCAAGATAGGGAAGTTAACCTCTATTCCTCGTTAGCTCAGAGTTTTATTAAAGATCAATGTTGAGTTTTGTCAAAAATATTTTTTGCACAAATCGCTATCACATGACTTTTCAAGAGAAAAGAGATTTTTGCTCTAGGATGTGTGCGCTCACTGCAGAGACAGCGAGAAATCAGCTGGCCAGGGGAGATGGCCACACTGCACCTTCCCTTGGAATTTTGGGCGCGTGCGCGCGCGCACACACACACACACACACACACACACACACACCTGGCATGAGTTTCAAGTCTTCAGGTCCAGGACTCAAAACACAGTCAGCCATGTGGGAGCCTAGTGCCTTAACCACTATGCCACCTGCAGGCCCCTCATGGTTTTTCGTTTTGAAATACTGACAAGCAGCAGGAGGGCCAGCCCCACGGTGCGGCAGAGTGCTGTGCACGGGGAGCTCGAGCCTGCGTGGCTGATGTGGTTTGACTCTCAGCCCCAGCAGCTTAAAAAAAACACACAACTGTGTGTGTGCCCATAATCCTGATGGGATGGAGAATAGAGTGAAAAGGACTGTGGGTGACCTCGCCCCTTTGAAGGGTGCCCCTACCCCAGTGCACACACCTGCGCTCTATTAGAAAGAGGAAGAGAAGAGTCGAAGACTTCCTCCACCGTTCAGCTTTCTCTCCGGCCCAGCCCCAGGCTGTGCAGCACAGGGGACGGGATGCGAGCCCTCAGGTGACCCAGTGAGTCCGTGTAGGAAGAGTGGCCACAGCTCGGCTCTCTGCGTTGGACATCGGCACAGCCAGCGTGGTATGGGTTTGTCACCGAGTGGAGTTTGACAAACAAACCACTACGTTCGTTCTGTTTAAAACACATGCAGGGGCTGCTCAGCTGCACCTGTTCCCGAGTTCGCAGGTGAGCCGAAGGCCAAGGGATGTACCGAGTGGCCCCAAGCCCAGGCCCCAGTGCCAGGCCCGGCTGCGCTGACTCGCTGAGGGCCAGTCAGCATTCCTGGGTGCCGGGCACCTTTGCCAAGAGGGTGCACCACGTCACCAAACTGGTCCCTGGGGGCTCCCGGCCCTCCAGCCCCACAGGGCCTGTGTGAGCCCACGTGGTGTGCAAAGCCTGAGGGTGAGGAGGGTGTGGCACGAGCTGGCCAGTAACATCCGAGTGCCCAGCAGTGGCCAGCATCCTGGACAGGGCGCCCGACTGGCCGGGCCTCCCAGTGGTCACGACAGAACCTATCTCAGAACCTGAACTACAGACCAGCGAGATGGGACCGTCATGTGCCCAGCCGTCACTGCACTGGCATCTCGGAGCCCTCGCCATCGGGGTGCGGACTGCCCCCAGGCCCCGCCTCCCACCCAATCCCCCCCGAAAGAACACAGGCAGCGAAGGCGCCCGGGCAATGCTTGGTATACATCATACATTTATTAGTGAATATCCCTCTGAAATCAGCAACAATATTAAAAAAAATAATGATTGCACTACTTGGTCAAGCAGAACTAGCAAGGCCAAGGGATGTACCGAGTGGCCCCAAGCCCAGGCCCCAGTGCCAGGCCCGGCTGCGCTGACTCGCTGAGGGCCAGTCAGCATTCCTGGGTGCCGGGCACCTTTGCCAAGAGGGTGCACCACGTCACCAAACTGGTCCCTGGGGGCTCCCGGCCCTCCAGCCCCACAGGGCCTGTGTGAGCCCACGTGGTGTGCAAAGCCTGAGGGTGAGGAGGGTGTGGCACGAGCTGGCCAGTAACATCCGAGTGCCCAGCAGTGGCCAGCATCCTGGACAGGGCGCCCGACTGGCCGGGCCTCCCAGTGGTCACGACAGAACCTATCTCAGAACCTGAACTACAGACCAGCGAGATGGGACCGTCATGTGCCCAGCCGTCACTGCACTGGCATCTCGGAGCCCTCGCCATCGGGGTGCGGACTGCCCCCAGGCCCCGCCTCCCACCCAATCCCCCCCGAAAGAACACAGGCAGCGAAGGCGCCCGGGCAATGCTTGGTATACATCATACATTTATTAGTGAATATCCCTCTGAAATCAGCAACAATATTAAAAAAAATAATGATTGCACTACTTGGTCAAGCAGAACTAGCAACTTTCATTTTAAAAAAAGTACAAATCTGTTAAAAATAACAATCAGTATACACATATATATAATACAACATACTAGTTATGGCAAATGCTACAAACCAATGTGAATCCAATGGAATGGAAAAAACCACACATTTAAGCTTTAAGAACCATTTTTTTCTCTATATATTAGCATTTTCTCAATACATACATGGGAAAAATGAGGTAACTGTAAAATGTGCAAGGAACAGGGCCCCCAAAATTACATATATTTTTATATATATATATGTAATTGTATATATATATATAAAACCATTTAAACACAGAAGGCAGGCGCTGGGCCCAGCCAGGGCTGGGGAAGGTGCCCACTGCCATGCCGAGGCCGGGAGTTGGGAAATCAGAGTAAACAAGCCCCCACCACAGGAAGTCACCGGTCACATGGCATCTACAGCAAGGCTGGCAGGTCACAGACGTCCTAAGGAATTACTTCATACATCTTTAATGATGATTTCTAATGCCGTGCCCCTCACCCCCACCCCACAGCGGCTTGTTGGGATCGCTGCTGTGGCTGACACGCATCTCGGGCCTGTTTTCGCCTGCCCTGGAACCGGAGGGTTGTGAAAAACGTTTGCTGGGGTGGGAGGAAGGGGGGCTGGAGAGGGTGGTTCTCTGTGTAAAACACGTGGGTTTTCAACACTGCTATAAATATAGAAACGTCACCTGGAGTTATATACAGTAAGACTTTGGGTTCTCCAAGGGGTGAGACCAGGCTGATGGGCCCCATGGCAGGCCGGGGTGGGAGGCGGGGGCCAGGGCTGCCGCGGGAGAACGAGGGTGGTTGGAGCATCCCTGAGGCAGCAGGCGCCAGGGGCTGCCTGCTAGGATGTGCCGCCCCACACGCAGTTCGTTCCAGGCAGCAACCCCAGCTGGGGTCAGAAAGGAATGGGATCGGGGAAGGAGGGAGGGGGCTACAGGGGCTTCCTCCAGACCCTGGAGGGCAGGGGTCAGGCTGGGAGGCCCTCTGGAGATGGGGTCCAAGCCCTCCCCGCCCCTGGCCTTCCTGGGCCTTCCAGGAGGAGCCTCACACAGGCAGGTGGGAGCCTGGCCCTGGCTGGAGGGAGAAATGCCCTGGAAAGCGTCCGGCCGGGCGGCTCCAGGGACGTGTGCAGTACAGTGCATGGCAGTTATGAGCTGAGCGCAGACCCGACTGCCAGCCGTGCGCAGGCATGCAGCCCCGGCGGCACCACTGGGTCCTCTCTGCCCTGGGCACTCGGTCCTGGTTGGTCCCCATACCCCCATTAAACCGAAAGAAAAACAACCATCTTAAACAGCCTCACCCCCAAATCCTACTCGCGATTTTGGGCCAAATGAATAAACAAAAACTGCTGCTCTTCACGTTCATGCAAAACAGGGAGGGGGGAAGATCAGGCATGGGTCTGGCCACGTCACTGGTGGAGGGGCCACCACCAGGAACTCGGGGGCCCGCACTCCTCAGTGCGGCCCAGTCCTCAGGACACAAGAACCCCAGTTCAGGGACCGGCTCCCCTCTGCTCAGGAGGCCTGGCTGGGATGCTCTCCAGCCTAGGGCGAGCTGGAATGCCGTATAGGGAGCCGGGCTGCACTGACAGCAGCCTGCAAGGAGCTGGTTGCCGGAGGGTGCCTGGGGTCCAGATAAGACTCAGCCCTGGGGTTCAGGAAACGGCCTCATGCCACGGCCTGCCCACCCCCAGGCAGGGCCTCCTGGGCACAGCGACACTTTCAGCGCAGGAGACTGGACAACCCAGGACGGCGTCCCTGCTGCCTATGGACGGGCCAGGGGCCTCTACCAGCCACACCGGGGCAACAGACCTCGGGCTCCCAGTGCTGGCAGGAGAAGGAAGAACCCGAGGACAATAGGAGGGAGACTGAGCTAGGGACACTCAGGCAGCTCCGCAGTGGGCAGACAGGCAGGCAGATCGGGGAAGAGTCTTTGGAGATTGGCAAATGCAGGGGCTTATTGCAGGGGCTTCTCACGGGGCTGACCCTGGCGCCAGCTCTGGAGATGCAGGTGGGAAGGACGGGGCAGGCCTCGGCCTCTTCCTCCCCATCCTCCCTGGACCCTCCCCCCCAGTTTTCCAGAGCTTCGGGCAGGGTTCTCTGGGGCGGCTGTGAGGCCTCACTCAGCCTCCCTGGGCACCTCAGAGGCATCAGCCCGGCAGATGGGACACGTCCGGTTAGCCTAGGGGGGGAGCTGCATGTCAGGTTTCATTCTGGCCTGCCCCCATCTGCTCCACCCCCAGTCCAGGCTCTTGGCCCTGGAGCCAGAACTTCTAGACAATGCCAAGGAGGAGGAGGGATGCCCTCCAGGCCTCCCCACCCCACCAGGAGACCAGCTGGGAGCTGGGTGGGCTGTTACCTTGAGCCACTTGTCCACACACTTGGTGTGGAACTCGTGGTTGCAGGGTAGGACTCGGAGCAGCTGCCGTGCCTCGAAGTCACTGAAGCAGACCACGCACCTGGGGAGGGCAGAGCAGCCCAGGGAGGCCCATCAGTGTGGTCCCTGGGGGCGCCCCACAGCCCCGCGGAACTCAGAGGGGCAGGGCCGGGCTGGGGCACTCACAGCGTCTGCTCCGACTGATGGCTGTCGGGGTGAAAGCGGTAGGACGGCAGCTGCTCTATGTCGGCTTTGGTGAGGCCGCGGGGCTTGGCGTCCCCCAGCCGCTCGGCCAGGCTCAGGAGGGCCTGCGTGCAGGCAGGAGGGAGGTCAGCAGCCCCTGGGCCTGGAGGCCTCCCAAACCCCACCTCCCAGCTCGGGCTCCACTAGACCTCATAGTTCTCCATCTCCACGTCGTCCACGTCCAGGTCCAGGCTGATTGTGGGCCCCATCGCCGTCGGTGACACTGGCAGCATGGAGCTGGGGGACAGAGCAGCCCGGAAGCCCTGGGTCAGTTGGCAGAGGCAGGGGGCACCCAGTTCACCGACTCTTCATGCAAGCATGGCTGAGCACTGCCGAGTTCACGCGGGGCACCCTGGGGGCTATGGGAGGGGCAGGGAGCCCACTAGGGAGTATGCGAGTGTGCGAGTGTGCGAGTGTGGTGTGTGGTGTGTGTGCGTGTCTGGCTTGGTGGGAATGCCAAGTGGCTTGGTAGCCCCAGGACAGGCACCATGGCCACGGATCGACGTGCTGGTACTTACAGGAAGTAGGGCAGGAAGCTGGGGTAATACGGCGGCGGTAAACTGGGATACTGGGCGCTTAGTCTCCGTGGCATCACGTGGGAGTAGGGCTGCGCAAGGGGCCAGGTGCAGGTCAGCCCTGCGCGCCCGCCTCTCTGGCCCCTGGTGCAGACCGGGCAGAGGCTGGCACTCACCACGCCAAAGGGCAGCTCCTGCTGCAGCGCATCGCGGGGTAGGTAGTGCAGGGGCGCCGACGGGGACAGGGCCGGGCCCGGGGCAGAGGCGGAGTAGGCGAAGCTGCCCAGGGGATGCTGGTCCCCGCGCAAGTCCATGTCGCCGTCCCGCCGCTG